ATTGGGAAAGATACATAATATATCTGATGAAATAATGTTATTTTGATATTTTGATCATTATGATTGGCAAAAACGACTGGGAGATTATCCAAGAATTTTCTGAAGCATTTTCCAAACGGCAATAATAGGTCGTCTAAATATTGATGAATCTCTCAGTATCTTAGTCTCTCTCACTTTTTCATATCAACACTCATTGAAAAAATATTTGAGCGAGTTTGACGTTGTGAATATTTTTTTTTGCACTTGGAGCGCACGAAAGGAAATCCCTATATCATGTTATACGAACGAATTTGGGTTGTTGCAACAGCAATACAGGGTGATTCAGGTTTTAAGGCACTAACTGAAATGGGAGATACCTCTCATCATTTTGATCAAGAAAGTTTATATACCTAAACATAAGTCCTATCTCGTTTATTAGCGGAGCTACAGGGGGTCGAAGTTCAATTATTTTTTTCTATTAATTGAAATATCTCGCTCACTTTTCAAGATATCGTTTTGAAATTTGGTGTGGTCAATACTTTCTAGAAGATCATCATTTCAAGCCATAAGATTTTTGAAATCCACAGGGAGATACGTTTTTGGGGGTAGAGGCTTCTTTATCCCACCAAACTTTTTCGTAGTACGCCTCTGGCATCTTTCATATATCGAATTGTGCGAATAGTTCAACTTACAGGCTTTTTCGCTCTTCCATTTTTTTCGAGAAACAAACCGGTTTTGAGATGAATAGGCATATACATTCTAAAACATGTTAATTTTGCCTATGTTTCGCTTACATTTTATTTTCGTTGAAAATACAATGGAATGTACTCACTAAAATTGTAATCACGAGTCCAATCTGGATCAGTTTTGGGGATACAGAGGGTAAAAATTTAAGTTTTTATTTCAGTGGAATAAAATTTAAGCGAAACATAGGCAAAATTAACATGTTTCAGAAGGTATATGCTTATTTATCTCAAAAACGATTCGTTTCTTAAAAAATCTTGAGTAGCAGAAAAAGCCTCTGAATTGAACGATCCACATATTTTGATCACTGATAGATGCCAGAGGCGTATTACGGAAAAGTTTGGGGGGAATAAGGAAGCGTCTACCCCCATTAACGTAACATCCTGTGGATTTTGAAAATCTTTAGATGGCTGGAAATGATCATCTTTCAGGAAGTATTGACCACACCGAATTTCAAAATGATATCTTAAAAACTAAGCGAGATATCTCAACTAATAGAAGAAAATGATTCATCTTTGACCCCCTGTAGCTCCGCTATTGAACGAGATCGGACTAATGTTTATATAAACTTTTTTGATCAAAATGTTGAGATCTATCTTCCATTTCGGTTTGTGCCCCAAAACCTGAATCACCCTGTATATTCAACTAGATTATAGGGTAGTAGATATTTTATTTTTGTATCATTGCTGCTGATACCCATAAGCATTAATGCAAAATTTGATACAACCTACTTTTTATCGAGTTGGAAAGATTGCTGGTTCATTACACAGCAGAACTACAGGGTATTCAATTATGTTTTGAACCCTCCATAACTCTTCCTCTTTTATTCAAAAACAACAATCTATGAAAAAATAAGTAACCATCTCATACGCTTTTCAAATTCAACGTCTACTATATCACAAGTAGAAATAGGTTATGTGGATTTTGTAATAGAAATTTCAAATCAATAAAATTATGCGATAACCATGTACAGTTGAAAATAAATTATTGGGTACTTGCTTCAATATATGAGTAGTAACCTTCGAATCAATTGATTTGGTGCATGACAGATGACAGACTCTGGAGGCAAAACATTTTCACTTTCATGGTCAGTTTACCCTCGAGTGTTGAAATAGTTATTTGTGCCACTAGTGCAAAAAGTGTATGTTTGCTGCATGATGCATGAAGTTTTGCACATGTTGCAGCTCGTGTTGCACACAACACTTTTTCAACGATCGAATTGAATTTATTTCTACGTCAAATTCCTTCGAGGAGTGAATTTACAATGAAAGACATATTACTTTTACTATCCTTGAAATAGTTCTACAATACAATAAAAGATTGAACTATCGTTATTTATACAGTGTGTCAAAGATAAGGATTTCTATCATGGTGATCTCAGAGATCATAGGATATACGAAGATGGTTGAATCACAGGTAGGTAAGGGTAACAAAATCTCTTTCAGAGAGTTTGAAAACTTCGAGTAGTCCAGAAGATATACCTTCTTGAAAACCAAAAGTTGCCAATTTCATATTGCCTGTAAAAAAGTATACCCTGTATTAAATCTCTCAACTCTGTTTCGTAGAGCTCGATTAGTGGCAGAGGGAATAGAGTCTTGTTTGCCTATATCTCTTCAAATTACGTCAGAAAAAATGGAAACGATATCGGCAAATTTTGGTTCTGCAGGCATATCTCTGGAACTACTTGGAATTTTGAAACTTCCTTGAAGGCAAATTGTTATTTAGGCTTGGGAATCATCCATCCATCCATCCAACCATCCATCCAACCATCCATCCATCCATCCATCGATCCATCCAACCATATTCGTATCTCGTATTGTTCTCGAGATCCACATGATAGACATCCTTATCTTGAACACACTTTAAAAAACTAAAATTATTATTTAGTTGTTTTTCCTCCAGTCGACTTGCACCAAATCACTTACATCCTTTTTATAACATAACTTCAAAGCCGATATCAATGTGAGTAGGGCATCTATTCATGTTTGTCTCAAACCAATCTGCACTTTTCTTTTCCATGCAAGCTTGCCAACGTGAAAAAAACGTGAAAAAACGTGATAAAAACGTGGAACAAATAGTAGTTCAGAAAACTAAAGAAACACCCTTCTGTAGATAGTCAAACTAAAAAGAAGTAGGAGATAAAATAATAAAAGTGTATTCATGGTAAATATTAGCACCTCTATGTATAATCAGTACATTCTATATTGTGTATTTATCAACAAACTTTTATTAAACTTATCATTTTCCACTTCTTTTTAGTTTGACTATCTATGTAAGGGCGTTTATTTAGTTTTTCAAACTACTATTCATTTTCTATCTTTCATTTCGGCCAACTACAAAAGCGTGTTTTCCAGTGTCTTGTGTATTTATATCTTATACAGTGTGTCCCACTTACCATGCTCACCATGGGTATCTTTTTAACGGTGAGAGATACGAGGTCGGTTAAATGACACCAAATGTGGAGTTTTCCAAGACCAACTATAATGTGAAAATATATTTTGATAAAATCTATTCGTTTTTGTTTTATACGCAAAAAACAGATTTTGATCATTTTCATGTCTACTCCGTAACTTCTTTATTTATGAAAATATTCAAATAGGAATTTCACATTCTCATGGCAGTTTTTCAAAGTGATTTCGAAAAAAATATGAAATTTATACCAACTCTTCTAGAATTTGAGATATAAGCACCAACTTTCGTTTTTCAAATGTAGGTCATAGCTCACTATGACTTAGTTACAAATAACTTTTTTTTCTCTTACAGATGATGTGTCGCAGTAATAGTTGTGTGTTGATGCTAACGGAGTTATCGTCTTTTATACGAAAACAAAAAATTATTTGGAAGCCGCTATCTTGAATTTATGAATTTTAACAAGAAAATCATGATCTCCGACCTCAAAAACCCCCATTTACCAATTTTAAATGGAATCGGACCAAATCTTGTCCGCCATCTTGGAGCAGCCATTTTGTTTTAATTTCAACAAAAATTCTATCATGTATTGTCACCGGAATTATGGACACCTGCCAAATTCCAAGTTGATCAGAGTTATGGAATTTTTGTTGAAATTAAAAAAAATGGCTGCTCCAAGATGGCGGACTAGATTTGGTCCGATTCCATTCAAAATTGGTAAGTTGGGGTTTTTGAGGTCGGAGATCATGATTTTTTTGTCAAAATTCATAAATTCAAGATAGCGGCTTCCAAATAATTTTTTGTTTTTGTATAAAAGACGATAACTCCGTTAGCATCAACACAAAACTATTACTGCGACACATCATCTGTAAGAGAAAAAAAAGTTATTTGTAACTAAGTCATAGTGAGCTATGACCTACATTTGAAAAACTAAAGTTGGTGCTTATATCTCAAATTCTAGAAGAGTTGGTATAAATTGCATATTTTTTTCGAAATCACTTTGAAAAACTGCCATGAGAATGTGAAATTCCTATTTGAATAATTTCATAAATAAAGAAGTTACAGAGGAGACATAAAAATGATCAAAATCTGTTTTTTGCGCATAAAACAAAAACGAATAGATTTTATCAAAACATTTTTTCACATTATAGTTGGCCTTGGCAAACTCCACATTTGGTGTCATTTAACCGACCTCGTATCTCTCACCATTAAAAAGATACCCATGGTGAGCATGGTAAGTGGGACACACTGTATATAAGTAGCCAATTTTGACGAAAAAATCCTCATATACTTTTTAATTTTCAATAGAATCAGATCATGATTAGATAATCCGTCCGTCATATCGAATTTTCCAATTTTGACAAAAGAGTCATAATCGCCGTCCCTGAAAACCCCCATATACCAATTTTGGTTCAAATCGGATCATATAATCACAAAACTCGTCCACCTCATTTGACCCGCCATCTTGAATTCTCCAATTTCGACTAAAGAATCATAATCTTCAACCCCGGCAACCTCCAAATACAAATTTTGAATAGAATCAGATCATACAATACTCGTCTGCCATATTGGATCCTCCATTTTGAATTTTCAAACTTTGACGACAGAGTCAGAATCTCTTATGTCTGAAAGACATTTCTATAATATGTACCTTTGACGCTTCTTCTCACGCTTTTTCTACGCTTTTTTGACGCATTGATGCGAAAAAGCATGCGTCACATCTGTATCACGTGTTTTCGACATTTTTTTCAACGTTCAACTTACTCGTGACGCTTCACCACGCTTTCTCTACAAGCATGGGGGAGACAGGAGTAGATCGGATCAAGAAAATAGATGCACTATCAACATGTGTCACATGCCTCATCGACTTAGTACGTTCTATCAGCGATGGTACCGTGCAAGTACCTGTCCTGCGCCACCGGCTGCACCGCCTCCTGCCTGAAGGGGTTCGAGGCGGTCCGGAAGGGGTTGCCGGCCGACGGGACCACGGGCGGTTCCTGCGTGGGCGCGGGCGGCCACGGGACCGCCGGCGGTGCGTCTGCCTCCAGAGGCGGAACGGCAGGCCTGGGGGGACGTGGGGGTAGAGCAGTCTCCACGGAGCCGTATTTCGCTGGCGGACCGCTAGACTGCCGGCGGAGCAAACCGTTGTTCTGTGACTGGAAAACGAGAAACGTGATTGCATTCTTTTCAATTTCAGTGCAGAGAAAGTCAATTGTAATTCAGAATAGTCCCTATTGTATTTCAAAGAGTACCGATTGTATTTCATAAAAGTATCAATTATTTTATTCCAGAATAGATATATAGATAAGCTTTATTGTCTAAAATGAACACATTTTGTCGACGAATTCAATATCTTGCGATACATTGATTGCAAGATATAAATAAATAAAATAGAATAGAAGAGGAATATATGAAAATAGCATAGAACGAAAATATATATAAAATAACATAGAACAAGTATCTTCATTATTACAAAGAACATGTCTCTTCAAAATCGATAATGTGAATCTCTAATAATTTTCACATATCATAGAAGGACTAGAATTTGTAGGATTGTAGGCTAAGTATTCGTCTAAACTATTCAAGTATTTTCCTACCAACATATCTTCGACAGATTTCCGGAAGTGTTTCAAATCATTGATTATTGCTATATGATCTGGTAAATCAGCCAAACTAGCTCGATCTTCGTTATGCCTGAGAATCGTGGTATTATCTGCAAAAAAAGTTAGGTGACTAGGGAAATCTAGACTATCCATATCGTTGATATAAATCAAGAAGAGAATCGGGCCTAGAACTGACCCCGGAGGAACCTCCCGTTTTATTTTGATAGCAGCTGTTAATTTCCAGTTATTTATTCACCAACTGTGTATCACGTGTTGTTCAATCATAACAAGTGACTCTTCTGAAAATTAATTGACACTTTCTGACAATCGATTTACTATTCTGAAATACAATTATTGAAGTAAACTGAAATACAAATGTTCATTCTCATATGCATATACAACTAATGCTATCTGCAATCCAATTCTCTATTCCGAAATACTATCGACGCTTTCTAGAATACAAAAGACTATTCCGAAAAACAATCGACAATTGAAATTCAACTGACTATTCCAAAATTCAATTGATGCCTTGTGGAATAGAAGTGAATATTCTGAAATACAAGTGATTATTCTGTCCATTCACTGCACAATGATATAACCTAAACTTTTACTGTGGACCATCAACAAATGTGTTTTATTTGAGTTTCCATAGCATTGATCCAACGATATTAGATTCCTGGTAATACGTATACCGCCCAACGTTTTTCCACAAGTATATATTGGGGTTTTGGACAAGTATATCATGTGAAAAGAGAGAATATAAAAAGGAGGAAGAGAGGTCATAGTGTACAGTATGATAAAAAAAAACAGAACGATCACCCACCGATGATTTTTTTATCGACATCTGGTTCCATTGTTTCTGCTCCTCAGCAGTAGGATCTGCCCAGGATTGAAGTTCCCCTGAGGCAAATATCCCGTAGAAGATGATGCCAGAGTAGTGTATGAATGCTGATATTATGAAAACTATTTTCCATTCTTCTCTTGACTGCAAAAAAAATTGAAACAATGAGTAGTTTAGTGATAAAATCATCCCATTATCTTCTTTGGAAGTTTTTTTTACCATACATATTTCCTGTTTTGAGATTTGGCAGGTGCACATGTTTTCCGTGACAATGTATCATGTCATCATTGTTGATCAAAAAAACAAAATGGCGGTTCCAATATGGCGGATGAGTTCTGTGACTATAGTCATATTCTATTCAAAATTGTTATCTGAGGGTTCCCGCGGTCAGAGAATACGATTCTTTTGCTAACATTGGGTAATTTGAGATGGCGGCTCCAAAATGGAAAACGAGTTCTGTGATTATGGTACGATTCAATTAAAAATTGGTATCTGGGGTTTTTCCAGGTCGGAGATTATGATTTTGATGTCCGATTCTGGCATGTGGAGGTTTTCATGGTCGGAAATTATGATTTTTGTGTCAAATTTCAAAAATGGAACATGGCGACTCAAAGATGGTGGACGAGTTTTGTAATTATGATCCGATACTATCGAAAAGTAAATGAGAGTAGAACGTATTTTTAACAACAAGCTTCCATCAATCAACTATCGAATTGAAAAATGAAATACAAAATCAGGTGAAACAAATTCAAAAACAAAGTTCTATTCAAATGCATTAGGAAATGAAGAATTATTTCTTCAGATGTGTGACGTAGGTTATATTTTGTGAGTAACATATTCAAAACTCCTCTTTGCAAACTTTAGAACCTGTTATGTACGTCACACATCTGATGGAATCATTTTCACTCCTTAGTGCATTTTAGTGAAATCTTGTTTTGATTTTATCAAATTTCATTTCTCGTGTATTTTTTCTGAGTGATATTTTCAAAATCATCCATTCACTTTCTATTTTGAAACTTTCCAAATCTGACAGAGCTTTCGGAAAATTTATTTTCTTCTTCAAGGCTGAAACAATATATTGTATATGAAACATTTTGTTACAAGTCAATTCAACAAAAACAAGAACTTACTTGCAATGGGAGTGAAAAGGTATACATTGGAATAATAATGAGTTTAAAACAATATAAATGATGTAGACATATAAAAATTGATAGGACAGTGACAAAAGTCATTTAATTTATATAACGGAAGAAATGAAATCATAAAATTAGATTGTTGTTGACTATCTTATAAGGCAGAGTCAGTTTGAATATCATCATTAACTAAAGATAATGAATAAGAATATATCTGAGATTATTAATATCTGTTTTCTTATTCATAGTGTATTTCTCATTATTAATTTCAACCATCTCTAAGAACAGGCCATTTGTTAAATTTTTTTCTGAATGCAAAATTTTTGTTTCTTCGAATTTCATATGATGATCATTAGTGATGACATGTTCAGCGAGTCCACAATTACTTTTAAGAAGTCTGCAATCACTTTTATGGCCAGATATCCTAGATTTGAGATTCTGAGTAGTTTGACCAATATATTAGGGAATACAAGGGAAATTTTCCAAGCTGTAGGAAGCGTTGAGTGTGTGATGCAGTAATTCAATGAAGTGATGATCAATTAGCAAAGAAGAGATCAGGTTCAACATTTTCAAGGATATAGCGTCGAATCCTACTGCGTTACTTCTGATTGAGTGAAGACATATTAGTACCTGTTCTTTGTCCGCAGTATAGAATTTGAACTTGTCATTCACATTATATCTGTCATGCTTGTATTGTTCTATTTAGTAGTTCAGATTGAAGATTAGTTTTTGTTACATTTGGTAATGTCGTAAAGTGTTGATTGATGACGTCAACATTAGCTAGGTTTTGTGACAATACAACATTTTCATTTTTATTCGCGGAAATAAATGTCACCAGGTGGCGCTCGGTTTTCATCGTTCCATGTCAAAGCCGCGTCAAAACTGGGGGAAAACAAACTCAATCATCACTCAATTCCATTAATGCCATTAGCTTGTGTACTGTGTACTGATAAGAGTGATAACACTTTATGTTATTGACGAGTTTGACAACTACAGCTACAGCAAGATGTATGCAATGTAGTCTATGCACTTTATCCATAGACAATACTTTCTTTTGCCCCAGTTTGAATTTCGTATTATGTAACCTAGATGTCGCCCACTTCGTGAATCTCGCGAATTGCCTGTATTCATTTGTCTTAGTACCATCCACAATGTCACCGAACATAAACTTGGGATTCCTTTGACGTGATACGTAATCAAGATATGCTTTTTTGTGTAGTTTCGAAGCATCTTATAGTATTTCCATTGACCTAGTGTTTTATATGCCTTGTTTCTTTCTATTTTTTATTGCAAATCATTCCAATTAGGACCTGACAACTCACCCTATGCGTGACTATCCTCCTGACCACATACGGACAAATGGCGCCTGCTATCGTGCCGATCCCATTGGATATGCCCATCAGAATGCTGGCGTACCTCGGCGCTATGTCGAGATGGTTGACGTTGAATCCGGAGATAGCAAAGCCGCTGAAGGCGACACCTATCGACAGAGCCGTCATGCCTTGCGTGAACGTGTGGGAGTACGCCATTATCAGGAAAAACGTCGCTTCCATTCCAAATCCTGGAATTTCAATAGATATCACTCGAACATGTACATTCTTTATTTATCAAACATTTATTCAACATTTATTTAATGTTGATTCAACGTCTATCCACTGATGAATCAACGTTAATACATCGTTAATCCTTCGTTCATTCAATGTTGATTTAATGTTAATTCAACGTTAATTCAACGTTAATTCAACGTTAATTCAACGTTAATTCAACGTTTCAGTTCAATATATCCAACGCGTGATCATTCAACGATAATTCATTGTTAAATTGAAAGTATGAGCCAAACGTAATTTCCAACCAACTAATGAACTATTTTGCACCAATAGATGGTATTCATCTTGATATATACTAATTGAATGAACGATACATCGACAGAGCTGTCATGCTTTGCGCTAAAGTGTGCGAGTACACCAATATCAGGAAGAACATTGCTTACATTCCGAAACCTGAAATCTCGATGGAAATCACTCAAAAATGTAGGTTTTTACATTCATACAACATTCATTCAACGTTTATCCACCGTCTATATCGAACGTTCTTTCAATGTTTGTTCAATGTTCATTCAAAGTTGAATATGTGGAGAACTAATTACTTGTTGATTGTTCAACGTTGTCAATTTGAAAATGACAATGACGATACATGAGCCGAACCTTATTTTGAATCATTGTATTCATAAGTATTCATCCTAAAATATACCTTTTGTATGAATGATTTGAAAAAAATATTTTCATCTAACTGTTGTGGATCAATTTTCAAATAATGCGTTGTATTTTACTTTGGAATTTTTGTGATTTATTTTTCACGTTCATTCAACGTTGAATAATGAATATGAAAATGTACGACATTTTCAAGTAAACTGTAAACTTTTTCCCAACTCAAAGTTGAAGTTGAAGATATAAAGAACGTTCATCAAATGTTAATTCAACGTTCGATAGTCAAAACCTAAGGTATTTATTCATTTTTCAACATTCATTCATCGTTGCGTATGTGAAAAATATATCATTCTTAAATTTTTAACGGTGTCTAATTGGTTATGTCAATAATGTTATATAAAAAACGTTCAAATAACATATATTCAACGTGATTACCTCCACAATTGAATAGTTTCCTGACTTGAGTCGTGTTCAATATCCCCTTTTTCCTTATACGATCTGCTACAATTCCCCCAGTCGGAACTATCACAGACATCAGAAAATGTGGTAGTGCTCCCAGTATTGCATTCTAAAAAAATAAATAGTGTTCATAAAGCGAGTTCAAATCATCCATGAAAAATGAATAGATCGCCTAGGAATGCCATAATCATAAGCTGACAATTTGAGGATCAGAACTAACAACGAGGCTACCTATATATGTTCCAATTTGCCGAAAAATGAGATATTTGTATAGACAGCTTCAATATGTTATCGACTGATGATTATCAAATTGTCGAAGTGAAGAAACTTCAAATGCCATAAGCAATCAGGCAGATAGATGGCACTTCCTGCAAATGATCGGTTATTGTCTCCACATCAAGTGCCATAAGAAGAAGATCATCTCAATCAACCAGCTACCAGACATAAATAATATCGGTGTTAGCCAGATAAAGTACCCAATATCAATGAAACCCTATCTAAAACATTATAAGAACAGCAAGAATTCGACTTTGATTTTACCAAATATTGTGTTTGCCGAAGTGTTGGTAGTTGGCCCATTTCCCGAATTCTTGAATTTTGAATTTTGGATTTGGAATATCTCTTTTCAACAATGTTGGCACTTTCTGCTCCTCATTTATTGGATTCGTCATCAGAATGATGTTGAAGTGGACACCTATCTATTTATTCTGAGTGAAGTGTGGAAAATATGTCTATGTTTGATTCGCTGACAATAGTTTTCATCATGTTCGCTCATTTAGGTGTTCCTGCTTTATCGAAAATAGTTTGGAAAACTCTAGAAAATCTAAAAATAATAATCATTCCAAATGATTTCAGGCTGAAAGGCCAGAGGTATGATATTTTCTGTTTAGTAAGCTAGTGACATTTTACCAAATAACCTCTTCATTTGTTAGCCTAACCCTAGACAATTTTCAAATTCCCTTCAAGATCCAATTCTCTCGTGTCTTAGATACAGAATTCCTCATGTTTGAACGTTTCAAGTGAAACAGTTCAAATCGTCTCCTGAAGAAGCTAACATAGTTAGCGAAACAATTGTCGAGGAGTTTGAAAAATTGGTTAGGATAGTAGTAAAACAGTGTAGTGGTACTTTCGATATGATTAGTAAAAACTCACAACATCATCTTCATTCTTGGAATATCAAATCATCATTATGGAACGAATGATACTACATATAAAGCTGAAGAAGAAACTTTTATCTGATGATGTTGGATGTTGCCTCAAATTCACGTCATCAAGGAGTGTTCCAGAATTCACATATCTGCATCTTTAGTAGACGTGCAAAATAAACCACCAAAATTAAAAAACAACAACCTGACAACTAACTTGAAATTGAACAATGGAATCGAAATTGTAATTAGTCTGAGATGTTGTTTTGGAAACTTCAACCTAAAATTGTCCTTTTTGACAAACATTGAATTAAAACAAATGAGCTACCGATGTTTTCAGTAAACTAGGGATATTAACTGGCAGATACATTTTGGGCCAATGAACAGACAATATTATTCTCTCACCTAGTAATTAGGTTTTCAGTTAGAAACATATACAATTCATCATTTTTCATGCAAATACCTAAGGAATCAGCTTATGAATTTTGTTTTTTTCAGGTTCAGATCAAATACGATGGCTTTGCAAAATCTTCATCTTTTCTGATTGAATGCTGATATAGTCCGAATTTCACTTACCTCTTCCATAGACGTGTGAAAAGAGTTTTCGAAGTAGGAGGCTTGAAACAGAACTAGCAGATAAAAGTTCCAAGACCTGCAGAAATTCGCCACAAAAATAGCGTAGCACGGCATCGACTTGAAAAAGGACTTCCACGGGGTGTTCCTGATGGTCGGCGTGATGTAAGTCGACTGTCCTGTGCCCAGAGAAGTCTCTATGAAGGCAAGCTCCTTGATTTCTATGCAGGTGTGGTAGGAAGGCTTCTCGAAAACCAGCCACAGCCAGGACATGTACCTAAGAACAGGTTTACATGGTTAAATCTTAGGAAGTGAGGGTTACTTAGCTATGTGCACGTGTAGATATACAAATATCTTTACCAAATGTTGTATTTCGTGCAAAATAATTTATTGAAATTTCACCTGTAAGTAAGTAATCAGCTTTTAACTTTTGAAATACATCATTTCTTGAAAAAATATTATTTATAAAAAATGTTAGTTGAACTTAAATTTGGAACATAAATGAAAAACCCAAAGTTATCTCCACAACTTTTATTGAAATGATCAAAGATCATCAATGGTACATGTTTCGGGCTTATATAAGCCCATCATCAGCCGATAAAATAGTTCAAAGTTATGGAAGTGAAAAAAGTTAAAATTCAATTAACGTGGACAATAACAGAGCAAACAAAGGCAACTGCTCCATGATTGTTAATGTGAAATTGCGTTTTTATAAAAAAGTATTAAATTTTTTTTTTAAATTCTCATGAAATGGTCATTCGAGGGTCGGGTTCATATTTTATAAGGGCCCACGTACCCCTAAATCACCGAAAAGTGGCGATTACCCAAGAAAATATCAAACTAATGAAAAGTATGATGTGGCTTCGGAAATAACCAGCTAAATAGCTCCTATTTACCATGGACTTCTTCCGAAGATTAAATTTGAAAACCAATTTAAGTTAATCAAAAATGTTATATTCGAACTAGAAAATTAGTGAAAGTGAGACTACTTACTCGTCAGGTTGACAAGAAAATTATTCATGAAAATATCTTTGGTCCTGCTCATCGTTATGAATATTATGGCTGATTACTGTACAAATAGATTACAGATTGAAATTTGTTTCCCAAAATGAGATAATATGCAGATTACATTATCTGAGCAGCTGCCATGACTGCCTCATGCTGTCTTGTTGAAGTGAACTTGATAAGTGATGAGAACAAATTTGGAGTTGTCATCTGACATGATATAAAAGGCATGACATATTTATGTCAGAGAAGTTGTCAAAAAATCTTCACAATTGGAATAATTTTTTCGTGAATGTGAAAATGACTGAATTGATGAATAGAAAACCAAATCCCTAAGGAGCAGGTGTTTTGGTCTAATGAGAACCTATTCAACAACTCATTGAGTAATCTAGATAATCGAAATTGCAACAAGTCAACAAGTGAGTACACCAGGAAAATCTTGTTGAGCCTAATGAGAACTCATTTAAATCAGTCCAGATTACATCTGGAGTGCTCCTTGGGGATTTGGTTTTCTTTCCATCGATGAGTCATGATGTATAATCAATATTATAAGTTGAAGTTGAATTCGATCAAAGTTATAGCGGCCAGATATGAAGGTGGATCCGTGACATATTAGTCCTGAATGCGTTCTTCTAAAAGCGTACGCGTACGTGTTTCCAAAGCTTGAATGTGTGTTATCCATTATTCAGATGGTCATCGTTGCAGGACATACCAGAGACGGTTTTATAAGCAATTTGTGGATAAAATGCGGATGAACCTGCCCGTTTTTCGGCAAGAAACAAACAATTTTATGTGACGATTATGTGATGAGTGAAAATATTCGAGTAACCAGCTCGGTGGAATGTGTATCTGGAGTATATCTGACTACCACGGCGGTGGCTGGAGATCAAACCCTGCAAGGCGTCTACATTTTTGAATTAGTTTTCACTCTAATAATTTTTCGAAAAATATAATTTTCAGTACTAATATCCCTAGGACATTGATAATAGACGAGATAATTATATGACAATCGAAAGCTCGTTCCTTGGTGACATCTTGAAGCCAAGCAACGAGCTTGAGAAATCTGTTATCAAAGTCTATCGCGTTTTCATAGTGATTGATAATTGCATTGAATGCAGTTATCAATATTTATATTCAGGAAAAAGGTTCATTCAGGCAGAGTTG